TGGGGCCTAGTCCTAAACTCTCAAAGTCCCAAGAGAATTTAAAAGTCATGATTTGGGGCCGGCCCATGGCTCACTCGGGAGAGTGTGGTGCTAACACCAAGGCCATGGGTTCGGATCCCATATAGGGATGGCCGGTTTGCTCACTGGGTGAGCGTGGTGCTGACAACACCAAGTCAAGGGTTCAGATCCCCTTACCGGTCATCTTAAAAAAAAAAAAAAAAAGTCATGATTTGATCATTACACAATGTCCATATATATCAAAATGTCACAATGTAACCCATAAATATGTGCAATTAATATGTGTCAATTAAAGACAAAAAATAAGAATCATTTGGGATCTGACTGAAAATGCAAAACCTCAATCTAATCATGAGGAAACATCTGACAAACACAAAATGAGGAACATACAAAAAAGGTGGGGGTAGGGAAGAAAACTAGTATTCCTCAAAAATATCAATATCATAAAGGACAAAGAAAGGCCATGGGAATATTTCAAATTAAAGGAGGTTAAAGACGCTTGACAACTAAATACACTACCTGGCCCTTTACTGGATCCTGAACTGAAGGGGGAAATACTAAAAAAGACCTTACTAGATCCAGCGACAACCTGGAAGTTTAGATGGCAGGTTAGATAAAAACATTGTGTCAATATAAATTTATGAAATGGACAAACTCTACTGTGGTTATATAAGGGTTGTGTACCCTACAAACTTACATACATTCCATAAAATACTTAGCAAAGTATTTAGTGGCAAAAGGCCCAGTTGTATGTAAGTTACTCTTGTATGATTCAGGGAAAAAAAAATGGATGCAGAGAGACAGAGTGAGAGAGAGAGAAAGAGAGAGACAGAGAGAGAGAGCGAGTACGTAATGATAAATCGAGGGGGGTAAGACGTTAACAATCCACACAAGGTATGCAGGTGTCCCTCTTTCAATGTCCTATTTTTATTCTTGGAGATTTTGAAATTTGCAATTATTTCCAAATTAAAGGTTTAAGAAAAACAGCAGCAGAACTGTTTATTTCAAACAAAATCCCATGTGGAACCCTGTGGGTAAAACAGGTACAGGCTGGGTTGTCTGGGGTGAGGCTGGCCTGGAGCCTAGCCTGTCTTGTGTCCCTTTGGTGACCTCTGGGGTGCCTCGTGGAAACCAGCTGGGAAACCACTCAGTGGGTTCAGCCTCCACCTTTCTGGGAATGTGGTAGGGAGGCAGCTTTTCCTGCATCCTGACATCTGAGCACCCGCACACCGATTCTGATCCTCACAACAGCCCTGAGAGAGGCATCCCTAGCCCCATGTTATGAGTGAGAAAACCGAGGCTTGGGAAGTAACTTTCTGGGCAGACGCTGCCCAGGTGCTTTCCGTGTGCTGACCCACCCCCTGCATGGCAACTTGAGAAGCCCACTTTATACACAGGCAGAGGCTCAGTGGAATTAATGTCTGAGGCTACAGCACTGCAGCTGGGGTTCAAACCCATGACTGTGGACAAACCCAAGATCCCCTGCTCTCCCTGGCGGAACCTGCTCCATCCCAGGTGAAGTTGCAGAGGCTCCAAGTGCAGAAGCCCTGGCCTGCTAGAGCAGAAATGGAACTGGGATGAAACTCATCCAGCGGTGGGAGGAGCACACAGATTGTTCCCTGATGAGAAACCCATTGGTTTCTGGCAGGGAGTTTTCACATGGAACCTTGACCCTGACCTGACATCGTGGCTCAGGGTATCCCTGCCTGGGCCTGGCTTCTGATCAGCAGAGACATCCCAGCCTCCCCCATCTCTCCCATGAGGCTGGGCACTATAAGTGCCCTGGTTCTGCTCCGTCCTTCCAAATGCCGTGCCCAGGCCCCCCGTGCTAGCAACTGCCTTGATTTCCCCTCTGTTTCTCCTCGAGTCCTGCTCATTGGAAATTTTTAGTTAGCAAATTCATTGTTAGCAAAAATCATGGTGTTTGATTCTCACCACAAAAATGGTGACTAAGTGAGGTGGTGCATATATTAATTAGCTAGATGTAGTCATTCCACAACTCATATATACTTCAAACCATCATGCTGTACATGGTAAACCCATACAACTTTATTTGTCAATTAAAAAAAAATCATGGTGCTTGAATGTCACTGCAAAATGACTGGGTTTTTAAAAGAATGCCAGGAAGCCACAGGTTCCTGGGTAAGCCAGGACTCGCTCAGAATGGAATTGCCCGTTGCCAGCCTAAAGCTGTCTCTGTAAATGTCTCAGGGTCTGTAGAGCCCTCGGCCCTGATTTTACCCCACAGCCCAGCAAGTCCCAGGTGCAAATGGTTCCCCTAACTAGAAATTCAGCCAGGGAAGGAAATAACTATAGTTATTAAGTGCCGGCCACTGGGTAATATGCAAATCAGACTCATCTAAACCTCAAGACAACCCCACAAGGTGGCATGGTTGTACCCATTTAACACAGGAGGAAACTGAGGCTGAGCCCCTAAGTAATCTGAAGTCACACAGCCGAGAAGGGGCAGAGCTGGGAAGAAAACCTGGAACTTGTTCCTCCCTGTTCCTTCAAGGTCCCAGAGCCAGCCTGTCTGAGGCTGCTGCCAGCACAGGGTGCTACGAGGACTCTGTCTCCGGTCGCCTTTCCAGCTTGATCTAGTTTTACTGCTGCTCCCCCTGCACACCATGCAGGTCTCCCCTGAGCCTGCCTGTCTCCCACCTCCAGCTGCTGCAGATCTAGGACTGCCTCACTCTGAGAAGGTCTGAGAAGGCTCCTGGCTTATTCCTGGCCAGTCCTTGGCAGGGTCATGGTCGGGTCTCAACCTCAGTTCCATGTTGCTGCTGCTAGGTATGGGGACACTTTCCCAGGGTTCCATACCTCTAGGACTGACCATATCAAGCTCGTTGACAGCTCTGGGTTCTGCAGGCTGCTTGCTGCCCCCCATCTTACTTCTTTGGGGATTTATTTTAGGAGGTTGCTCAGGTGTGGTGCTAACATCGTGGGCCTGTCCTCTGGGCTCCAGACTGCACAGGACACCTGAGCTCCAAGTCTAATGTCCATGCTGTGAAAACAAACATTTCACTACATCCTGTTTCTGCAACAAGGCTCTTTTTTCCAATCACCTTTCCAGCATTATGATCAAGTTAAACGTGTAGTTCTAACTCAGTGTGGCATCTGCTTTGGGGGAACACTATTCATTCCAACAAATGTGGGTTTTACACAAAAAAAGTGACCCCAACCCCAAATTGTAGCCTGTACCAAGTCTGTGAGGGAAGCTTTATCAAGGGGAGGGGACCCAGAACCATCCCTCAATTACACAGCAACAACTACTTTCTGTTGGCCTCTGGCCAAACTGGCCAGCTCTTCTGAAGGAACCTGGAGAGAATCGCTCTCCTAAAATAGCCACGCATGTTGAGCCTGCTAGGTGCTGCGCATTGAGGTCAACATTTTACAAATGCTGTTTCTAATATTCACAAGTGACAGAGTATGGATTCTGAACCATCAGGGGTCTTAGTTTCCCCTCTCTGTGAAGCAGCTTCCTCAGGTGAAGACAATGGGCCTTAAGGGGTTAAGTCAGTCATTCAAATTTACACAGGTAGTAAGTGACAGACAGGAATTTGAACTCAGGTCTAGGTGGCTACAGAGGTGACTATCCTTCCACTCTCCATTACCATGGCTGCCATGTACAGATACACAGGCCGCTCACTGCACAAGGGCATCCAGCTGAAGGGGGGACTAGGGGATGAAATCCAGCCAGCATTCTGTTCTTTAAGGTGAGCACCGTGGTGCAGTGATGCCTGCTCTTGTCTGCCTGGAGGAGCATCAATTATAAATGGTCCCAGCGATTCCTTCCCTGCATCCGCACCCCTTCAATGTGACTTTGCAGCTCTTCCCATCAAGAGGGGACATGTTCCTCGACCCCGGCATCTGGACTGGTCTTGTGACTAAACAAGTCAATGAAATGTGTCAGAGTGATGTTGTGCTGGTTCAGGGCCAGGCCTCAACGGGGCTTGCAGGCTTTGCTTGCTCTCTAAGACCCCAGCTACTGCCATGGGCATATGCCTGTGCTAACCTGCTGGAGGATGAGAAACTCAGGGTTCAGTACCCCCCATCCTAGAGCAGCGAACATCTAGTCAACCACCCAGCATATGAGCAAGGCCATCCTAGACCAGCCAGCCTCCAACCAACTCACCTCTGACCACAGACCCGTGAGCAAGCCCAGACAGGCTAAGGCATGCCTGACCCAGACCAGCATCCCTGCCTGACTGACCGTGCACTCGTAAGTCATAAATCAGTGCAAACTCTTTAAGGCAGCTATGAGGAGTTGAATTTTGTCCCTTTCAAAAGTCATATGTTGAAGTCCTAATCCTCAGTCTCTCAGAATGTGACCTTATTTGGAAATAGGATCCTTGCTGATATAATTTGCTAAGATGAGGTCATACTGGAGTAGAGTGGGCCCCTAAGCTAATATAACTGGTGACCTTATAAAAAGGGGAAATTTGGATGCAGACATGCACACAAAGAGCATACATGTGAGGATCTGAGTCCTGCTTCCACAAATCAAGGACCTACCAGAAGCTGGGAGGGAGACCTGAAACAGATCCCTCCCTAGTGCCCTCAGAGGGAGCACAGCCCTGCTGACACCTTGAACTTGTAGCCTCCAGAACTATGAGACAATACATTTCTGTTGCTTAAGCCACCCAGCTTGGAATATTGTGTTTCAACAGTCCTAGAAAACAAATAGAGCACCTTTTCCTAATTCTCACAAAGGCACAGTATGGCTGGCTTCCGTGCCTTTCTCCAGTGGGGCAGTCAATCATGGCCCTCCTCATGGTCCCAGCTAAGTCCTGGGATGTGCCCAGGAATCCCATCCATGACCAGTCACTCCCCAAGGGGCCCGTGAATCTGGAAAGGCTTCTCCAGTGCCAGGGGCCTTCCAGAGGCTCTGGAATCCTTGTGGGAGAGGGGATACAGACCCAATGATACCTTGGTTCCTGTAGAAGGCTCCTAGCCCAGGCCCCTCCCGGCTGCCCACTTACCTGGGTTGCCGAGGGCCATGGAGTCATAGATGAGCTTGCAGGTCTTGAGCAGGATGGAGATCTTCTTTTCAGGTGAGTAGGCCTTGTGCATGCTGGTGAACTTCTGCAGGATCTTCTCCATGACGGGTACTTCTGGTACACTGGTGGTCACACCCAGGTCGGTGGTGGTGGTGGCCAGGATCACCAGCTGGTTCTCCTTGAGCTGCTGCAATGAGCCATCCTTGCTGTGGATCTCATGCAGGCAGGAGTTGATGGCTTCTTTCAGGGGCTTCAGGACACATTTGTACAAGGCAGACTCTACAATTGCTTCTGTAGGTGAGCAAGAGGGCGAGGATAAGGAAACCAGCAGCAGGGATCCTGCCACCTGGCCCTGTTGTCCAACACCACAGCTGTCCCCACCTCCTGGTCCTCAGAAGCGGGTATACTCACAGCCCCAGCAGCGATACCTTGTGGTTCTGACATGTGAGAAAGTGTAGTACATTCAACAGAAAGCCACATGCAAGGACACTGGCGCAGGACCCTCCAGGGACTAATACTAACAGGTCACTGTATCCTAATGCTTTTCACAGGGCCTGGCACAGAGTAAACTCTCACAGGGCTGCCTACCAGCACACAACTTCAGAGGGCACTGTTCACACTGGAGTTGTGCCGTGTACAACCTGGGCAGCTGTAGGCTGAGGGCCTGAGGGCCTAGTAAACGATGGGTAGAATTATTCTTGATGTCTCTCTTTCAATTTCCAAATCCACCTGACTCTAGCCTTGAAAATACAGTATATCCAGAACCTGACTTCTCACCACTTCCATGACTCCTACCCTGACCCTGTTTGGTCAGGTTACCATCGTCATCTCTTGCCTGGGTTTTGTCAGTAGCTCCTTGCCCTGGCCCTTATATTCCATTCCCAACCCAGCAACCAGTGTTATCCTGTTATGACATGTTTGACCAGAACATTCTTCCATCCAAAAACCTGCAATGGCTCCCATCTTATGTTAGATCAAATCAAATCCCCATTCTTCGCTGTGGCCTACAAGGCTCGGCTGTGATCTGGCCCTGCAACCTCTTACTCATCACTTGGCTTGCTCCCCCATGCTCATGCTGACCCCAACCTGCCAGGGCTGCTCCTGCCACAGGGCCTTTGCATCTGCTATTCCTTTGCCTGGAGCAGTCACCTCACAGCTATCCATGTGGCTTGCTTCTTCACTACTCAAATGTCATCTCATCTGAGAGGCAGTCCTGATTATCTTGTGGAGCGGGAGTCACAGATTTGATCTCACAAGAACTCTGCAACATACATGCTATTATCTCCACTCTAAACATGGACCAATTAGACTCTGATGGGGTGGGCTGTGGGCTGAACAAGAATTTGAACTCATGTCTACTTGATGCCAAGGTGACATTCAGCTGCTTTGGCTAACACCTGGGCCCTACATAATCTCCACAGGAAGAGGCTTGGCTATTGGCCCAGTAAGGGGAGGTCCTAAGTCCTGTCACTATAGGGAGACACCTGAGCTGCCCTATCCCTGGGGAGAGGCGGGAGGGGCTCATACTCCCATGGTTGTGTCTCAGCAGAGGCTCAGACAGCCCTGCCCTGCCATGCAAGGCTGGGGTTGGCCCATGTCTGGATTTGGGGCCAATCTTGGCCGTCCTGGGTCCCCGTCCTGCCACCTCCCTCTTCCCCTTCAGCAGGAGAGCACATGGCTGGCCTCGTACCCCTCATCCCTCTCCTGTCCATCCTTCCAGGCCCACATCTTCATTCCATTGCCTTTGGATCCTCTGCAGCTAGAGGAGCATTGAGCTGGGGGCAAGGACTTGTGCTTCCCTGCTGCCCCCGGCCTTGGCCAAGTCCCCTCCCCTTCCAAGGCCTGTTTCCCCATCTGCAAAATGAGAGGGCTGCATCCATGCCCTCCAGAGTCCCTTCATGTCTGAGAGCCACCAGAGCTCCTCCAGGCGCCTCCTCTCCAGACTCTGGCCCTTCACAGCCACACGTGTTAGGACCGTTCCATCTCTAATTGCTCCTGTGACTTGTCTGCTAAGAGGGTGGGTTCTGCTGTCTATCCTGCACATGGGCAGAGCTTAGAAGGAAGAGACAGAACAACAGAGCATTAGTTCATGGAAAGGGTCGGCCTGTCCGGGTCTGCAGCCCAGCACTGCCACCAGCTGTCATTCAGCTGGGTCACTGAACCTCTCTGAGCCGTGGTTTCTTGGGAACGACAGTAACCCAGGCCTATGGGTTTAGTTCATGGTGCGGAGGCCGACATGTGCGGTGTCAGGAATGGTGCTGTTACTGTTGATGCTGACTTCAGTCCTCCCCTCTGGGGAGCCCTTCTCTGTCATTCCTGCAGTTTCAGCCCTCCCCACCCTTGGTGGCTCAGCTCAGCAGCCACCCTATCCCTGCCTCCTCTGGGTCACTTTGAGCCTTTCATGCTCTTCCGTGCCCTCCCATGCCCTTCTACGCCCTCCCAGGCTGCACGGTGCTCGGGCTCAGCCCTCGGACCCGGGATGATCTCATGCAGTCTCATGACTCTTTTTGTGCTGATGGTTTGCAAATGTCTATCTTTAGCTCACCCATCTCCCCAGAACTGCAGACTTGAATCTTTTCTTTTTTTTTGTCTTTTTTCCATGTCCGGCAACGGATCGCGACCCTCAGTGTTGCCCCCGTACCGGACCGGGACCGGCAACGGGATCGCAACCCTCGGCATTGCCCCCGCGCCTCGCTCAGCCAGTGAGCGGGAACCGGTCTGTATGTGGGATCCGAACCCTCGGCGGGAGCGCCGCCGCACTTCCCAAGCAGCGCACTAGCGCAGTGCGCCACCGGGCCGGCCCCTAGACTTGAATCTTAACAGCCTGCTAGACATTGCCACCTGAGTGTCCACCAGTGCCCGCAAGATCACACGTCCAAAACCAAGCTCCTGAACTCCTCCCTAGCGCCTTCCTCTGGGAGTGGCGGCTGCGTCCTTCCAGGGCTAACCCTGCTGTTCTCATCCTGCTTTCTCTCTCTCACCTCCACATCCAGCCTGTTAGCCAGTCCTGGGGCTCCACCTTCACAGCAGGTGCAGCAGCCGACCTCACCTCTCCACCTGCCCTGCCTCCACCCGCTCCCAGCCACCGTCGTGGCTTTTCTTGATCATTCCAGCAGACTCCATACCTGCCACGCTGCTCCTGCTCAGTGTCTTGGCCAAAGCGATGCTGTTCTTATGTAGGTGAGATCACGTCACTGTTGGGCTTGACCCTGCCACGGCCTCTCCCAGGGAAAGCCAAGTCCTCAGAGAGGCCCACAAGGCCCTGCACAACCTGCCTCCCCAGCTGCCTCCTGACCTCACTTCTTGCCACCTTCCCTTTCACTCATCTGTCACCTTACTCACCCCACTAGAATGGAAGCTGCCCAAGGGCAGAGCCTCACCTCTTTTTCCCCAGCACCAAGATGGTGTCTGACCCAGAGGTGGGGGTCCAATGACTCTCTGTTGACTACCTGCTTATGTGGCCCACTCCCTCCCTAGATAATCAGCTGTGTGGGGACAGAGTCTGTGTCACTGTGACTCAGCATCCCGGTTTGGGCACTAACTCTCGGGCTGCCATTGGTGGGCCTAGCTCATGCTGCCCAGGTCCCGGCAGCCCCTGAGCTTCCTGCTTGCACGCCCCCTCCACCCCCAGGGGCCCTGTGCAGGTGCACATACGGTGCTGGCCTCCTGAGGAGGCAGCTGCTGGTCCCAGATCTCAATTCCACCACCATCACCACACCTGAGAAGCTGCCATCAATCCTATACCTGGCAAACACCAGCTTCCAGGAGTCAGCTACCAAGATCAAATAGCCCTGGGAAAGTTAACACATTAAGCTCTTTTTCAAGATACATTCACTATGCATCTAGTATGCTTCAGGGTCCCAAATGCCCTTTACTGTGTCCAGCATTGACCCTTTAATTGTTGGAAGGGGGAAGACAGGCTAGGGGATGCCAGGGGAGGTGGTTCTTGGAGGGCTGGTGCGGTGACTCTTTACCAACTAGTTCAGAAGCAGCTCGATGTTTTAACAACTGCTGTGGCCATAGCAGTGTGATCTGACTGAATATCTTGAATATACACATAGGTGTGCAATTGATCACAACATAAAATATCTTTCTTACTGTGAATCACCATCCAAAAATGTATGATAGTTATTGATGAGAGGCTGGTGGGGATGGGGGATGGCTGGGAGGCTACTTTAGAAGGGGTGATCAGAGCAGTGAGCTGTCTTGGGTTGGTTCCCTAGGAGCAGAGTCTGAGAGAGGGAATTGGGTGCACTTGATATATTGGGGCAGAGCTCTCAGGAGAAAGGAGTGAGGAAAACAGGATGAAATGAGGAAGGACTTGAGCAAGAGTGAGGTCTCAGCCTCAGCCTGCTCCCCGGGGGCCCCTGTAGCATAACCTGTACCATGCGGTGGTCCTGCCTTAAGATGAGGGGGCCAGTCTTGTTCCCCCCATGGCAGGGAGTAATTGGCTGTGGGGTGCCAATGGCCTCCCTTCCACCCACGCCCGCCCCTGCCCAGCACTGACCAAGCTCCTCCTCGGAGTGCAGGCTGGGGTCCACCAGGGTCTTGAGCTCGGTGCTCTGCAGCAGGTAGCTCTTGAGCTGGGTCATCATGGTGCGGATCTCCTGCAGCATCTCGGTGCTGGAGGTCTGGCGTGCCATCATCTCCAGGCTGTACACCTTGTAGTCCTGCACCAGGCTGCCGAAGTACGAGGCCTTGTCCTGCGCCAGCTCCACCACCTTCTTGAACAGCTTGCGGTCGTTGGAAAGGAAGGCGCGGAAGACGCTGCTGAAGCTCACAAAGCTCAGCCGGTGCCGCGCCTTGTCCAGGATCATCGAGGGCTTCTTCTTCACACTGGGGCTGCTGAACTGCTCCATCTCCTCCTCTGTGCTGCTGGTTGAGTAGGAGTCCTGGTCCGGGGCCAAGGTGGGCACTCCCAAGCCGTCTGAGAGGGAGGCCAGGGAGCCCTTGAACTCTGGAGAGCTCTGAGGGTGGGCACTGGCCTGGGCCTGGAGGCGCACAGTCCCCTCTTGGGAGGCAGGACTTTGGCCTTGTCGGGGTGGACCAGGCGTGGGTGTCTCAGAGGCTACCGCCTGTGTGGAGAGCTCAGCGCTCTCCAAGGGACGAGGGAGGACCGAAGCCAGCTGCCGCGAGATCCTTTTCTTCCTGGGGGGCGGGACGGGGGGTTGTTTGGTCTTCCTCGGAGGCTCTGGCAGGCCGCCCGGATGGCTGGCTTTCGCCTCTGCTTTCTGGCCTTGCTCCGTGGTCCCTTTAGGCTTGTCCCCAGGGCTGTCTGAGGCCACCTGGGGAGGCAGGCTGAGTAGGGTTGTCCTGGAAAGAGCTGGCTGGTCCCCCTCTGCCGCCATTCCCGCACCTTGGTCCTCTAGGGATGGCTTCTCAGAGATGCGTCGTCTGGGAGGAGCAGCTGGAAGGCTCTTCTTCACAGGTAACGGAGGGACAGGGGCCTGCTGCGGGGGGCTGGGGACTGCCTCTGGCTTCATCTCTTCCTCCCTGAGGGGGCCCAGGCCTGTGGCAGGGTGTGGGAGCCTCTCGCAGGCTGTCATGGGGGGCTGGCTTGGAGGGTCTGGGGGACCCGGGGCATGAGGTGTGAGGTGGGGGGCAGACACCGGGGGACAACTGGGCAGAGGACAGGCAGGGGCAGGAGCAGGGGGCACAGGAGGCTGGGCTGGGCCA